TATATATATATATATATATATATATATATATATATATATATATATATATTGATGCAGATTTAATCAAGTTGACACAAATTGTTCAATCCCCTTTCAAACACAAAATTATGCAAATTAAGGATACCAGATTGGGGAAGGGGTTAAAATAGTCAGGAGACGGTAAGGATACATTTTAGTTAGGCGGTTGACATTTTACAAGAATACAACATTATTGTTTCTTGCTATATAAATAGGCTTCAAATGGAAGAGATATAAACATTGTTACACAAACAGTTATTGTTATATGAAACATTATTAGCAACAAGATACAAAATACAGGATAATTTCTTTTATATTAATATGGTCAACTTGAATGTCCCGCCCATCATGGGTGGTTTTCTGGGCGTCTTTTTACAGAAATTATTCTCCACTGAAAAAAAAGCATAAAAATATTCGAATGTAAATATATTCCTTTCAAATAAATAACTAAGAGCGTAACAGCTTGAGCTCTAATCAAACCGGGTTGGGTTGTAGTCTTCTATCAGTAAATTTACACCCTGTACTATATTTTTCTTCAAATGAAGTTTTACATTTAAATGAATATGCATTAATTGTATTCAATGATCTTTGGAGTTCTGTATTTATAGCTTACTGTGATTTTTACTTGCCTATCATAGCTTTATTTTTCATTTATGTCTATTATTGGAAAATAGTTTTTAGTACTCCATAGTTTGCACAATACAAACATCCAGAAAAAAATCCTGAGCCTTATTTTAAAAAGCGCTTTATGAAAATTGTATGATTATCTTTGTTGGTTAGAATATAGATACTGTAGTTGATGCAGATTAAATCGAATTAGCACACATTTTTCAACCCCCATTTTATACACAAATTAATGTAAATAGGCTTATGCAAATTAAAGATACCAGATAAGAGCAAAATAGAAGGGACTTTAGAGAAGAACATGATAAATTTTAGTTGGGCCGTTGAGCAAGTATGAATGTTCACAAGAATGGTTTTAGTGTGTAAGATTTTTTAGTAAGAAAGTCTTAGTTTTTAGTATGGACTGGTGAATATATACGGGGATTCTAATTGTAGGATATGAGAGGGATCGGTGTAGTTGTGGTTTTTTTTTTTTTTTTTTTTTTTTCTCAATTGTAATGCATTTTAGTAAGGTAGTTACGTATTATGACTATAGGTAAAAGAATTATAGACTTTTTTCAAATACTTTTAACTGAGATTCTTTTTATTTTTTTTATTTTTGCATGATTTAGTATTAACCCACTAAAATTAACCAAACTTTGAAACTCAACCATGAAGACGAAGATGATATATTATTTTGTATTACAGAAAGCAAACCATCTCGGCAAGGGAGGGAAGATATCAACATGTGTTGGACGAATTCCGACAAGATTGGGACTGGGAAATTATCACAAAAAGAGACTTTTTTGGTGGAGTGAGAAATTATCTGTCGTTGGAGCCGGGAGGGAATTCCCTTGCTGAAAAAATCCCAACCGTCTGTCCATGTTGATAATGCTCTACCCTTGGGGATAATTTTCTATTATTGTAAACGAGCAGGCCTAAATAATAAAGAACTTGTCCAACTTTACAAATGCTATGTAAGACATACTGTTGAGTACGCAGCCCCTGTCTGGCATCCAGGATTAACAACAGAACAAACAAAACAGATTGAGCGAATCCAAGAACGGGTTTGTAGATGTATTTTATCAAAGTCATTTACCAATTATGAAGATGCTCTTAACATTCTTAAATTGGAGAGACTGTCTGACCGCAGAACCGCACTGTGTGCTAAACTTGCAAGGAAGGCTGTGGAATCCGGGCGTTTTAAACACTGGTTTCCACTGTTGGACAAGGTTCACTCTATGAACCTCCGTAATACCAAAGACTTCAAAGAATATAAATTCAAGAATGTGAGGTTCAGAAATAGCCCCCTTCCGTATATGACATCCCTACTGAATAGCAAGTGAAGTCCACAGTGTGATTTCTTTTTCAGACAGTTTCTACCGCATTAGTTATAATTGGATTAGCTCAAGTGCAATAAATAATAATAATAATAATTGAAATTGAGAATAATAATAAATAATATTTTTTAATTTTAATACATAATTCAATTGTACATAAATCTGTAATTTTAAATAATATTGCTTTTAATTCAATGTATTTTTATATTTTCTACTTGTATTTCTAATGTATTTTTGTAATTTTATTGTAATTCTGTTTTAACACCATTAGTCTCCAATTCAATTTTATATTGCTATTGACTTTTGCTTTGTGAATTTTTGTACCTGTTCTCCTTTTTTGTGATTTGAATTTGAATAAATAAACCTGAATAATAATAAAAAAGAAACATTCACAAAGTTTTATTATCTGCCGCTAGAAGGATTACACAAGGAACAATACAGTGCAACAATCTTTTTAATATGAAACAAAAACTTGCGAGCTGACATTCATTAGCTAAATATAGCTTTATTCAATGGGGATATGTTTTAAAAAAAAGCCTTCTTCTTGTGCTTGTACCTTGGCATAATAAGAGGTAGTACACCTACATTAATTTCCTTATTCTGTCTTTATACTGAAACATTTTCAGTGCTAAAGCATTGATTTCCAAAGTGGTTAATAATATTAGTAGTAAAATAATATGCATAGCAGAAGAAATTAATGTAAGTTATGTAATAAAAGCATTTCAAATAGAAGTTTTAAAATTTAAAAGTGTTATGGTTTTAAAGTTTGTTTTAATATTGTCTGGAAGGTTATTTCATAATTTGTTTGATCTGTAAACAAAAGTTCTTTTACCTTGCACATTATTCCATGGATGTTCAATTGGGGTATTATTGCTTTGATTTCGTGTGCAGTGTGAGTGTAAACAATCATTGAAAACAAAATGTTGAGATAAATATTATAATGGAGCTTGGTAATTGTTTTTCCTATTTATCATGAAGTTTGTACAATCCTAAAAAATAGGCCTACAACTGGAGTATTTTATATCTACGGAAAGTAAAATTCTTCCAAGTGGCTGACTGACTAGTAATATTTTTACTAATGGCTGACTGAAGAAACTTTTAAAATACATTTGTTTGTATAAAGTCAGAGGAAGCAATGATGTTCATATGATTTTTGTTTGTATGGATTAAGGTAAATAAAGTAACAATACTTAGGCACTCAATCATCATCTAGTAACGCAGATCTCAAATATATTTACGAAAGGCCTATAAAATTACCCCCTACGATACAGAAAACTATACAGATTATAATATCAACTAAAAAGATGCGTGCCTTGGATATCAATAGCATGCGTTGTATTTCGATACAAAGAGCGGTAGAGTACATTGCATAAATGAGGTTTTCATAGATAAGTAAATATTCTTCTGTCCCATTGTACTGTACATTCTAAAGATTCTGCAAACTTAAAAGTAACACGGAATATTCTTCGGAGATTGCAGAGATTAACATATGTACTCGGTTCAGATTCAAAATATATTTGTCCTCACGAAAACATGTAACGACCAAATTTGCTTATAGCAAAACATAAATTTACATTTCATACACAATTATAAATATCAATATTATAATACATAACAATTTACAAGATTAAAACAATTATGTATACATTTTAAACATTTATACACAAGTTGTATATAAATAATAAGTCATAATTGTTGATATGAGGTTTATGGATAAAATTTACTATGATACGCTTATTTGCAACTATCATTGTAGGTACGAGTGGGGTTGGGGATAATTGATTTGAAATGCACTGTGTGCTCCAAAGACGCCTGATAAGATGTCATAAAGCAATGTGAATAAACAAGAACTGTTTGTCTTAACCTCTTAAGTCTTGCGATTGAGGATTATGCATAATATTAAATCTATTAGTCATTGTATCTTTTATAATTCTTATTGCAATCATTAAATATATGTATCACATATCATACATACTACAACATTAATGTATCCTGATACATATGTATCAGACATATTAATACCCATAAACACTTAGAATTAAACATGCGATGATATCTCTTAAATATCATTACACAAAGGCCTACAATTATTAAGTATTATAACGATTGATTCAAATTATGAGGGTAGGCATCATAACAATAACACAATGAATTATCCCGTTTAAACTACCTTAATTTTATTGCTCAGCACTCAATCGGTCGATACAGAATTAAATTATATGGAAAACATCCCCATCTTCTTTCTGTTTTCAAATCTGACCTACGACTTAAAGGTCTGTTATACAAAAAATGTATAACTTTGCATTGGCATGAACTTATGTTTATGAAATATTGGTTAAAAAGAAATAGCCTAAGCCTGGGCTACCTAAGATATGCTAGTGGAAGTGACACAGCTACTTATGAGGCGGTAGTCATTAAAATACCACGATACAATCTTGAAAATAAATAGTTAAAGTTAAACAAAAAATTAGATCGACAAGCAATAATTTTGATGAGCCGGCTCTTTGGCCCAGCCTGAACACTTTGAACAACTCAGAATATTGGTGTAACAAATGATGATGATGATATTCTGGTTGTTTTTAATCAGTATTTAAAATATTGTACAACCTACAACATAGAGGTTAGGCCTATATAATTATGACATACATTTATAACTTTTTTATTGAATAAAATACACGAGTTTAATCACTACCGGTCTCTAATATTCACGTTCATCAGGTGATGTAATTAGTATTAGTAACTCATAAATATGAATAATCC